CTTTTTAGTAGCCAGGTTTCGTGCAGTTTTTACACTAAGAGCCGTTCATATTACCAACAGTGAGGAAAGTGATTTGTTTGCTCAGATGTTACCATACATTTAGTGATTAACCCATTATTATTAATTTAACAATGATTAGACCAGCAATAAAATATAATTTTGTAAGGACTTGCCTTAAACTGTGGCTTCCAATATCTTGAAATCTAATTCTTTCAGTCCTCTAGTCCATTATCAAATCAGGCTCTAGCCAGGGAAAATGGCCACCCTGCTGAGAGGGGAAATATCTCTGGACGTTGCACAGAGAAAATGAAACACTGACCAAGTATTACTAAATAGTGCCTGAAAAATTACTTTGGAAAGGCAGTGTGTTCCAGTGGGTAGGGTACTGGATAGCTCCTCTAGAGACATGCAGGTCACTTCACCTATGTTTCCTCTCTCACCCTTTGCTTAATAGAGCCCTTCTTGGCAGGGTCTATCACTGTGTGTCTGTACAGTGCCTAGCACAATGGGGCGTGATCGCTGTTCGATGCTAGAGGCTGCTGTAATACAGTTGTTAATTTACTTAGTTGACTCATATTTTAATTGCTGGTATTTTTTCTTTCTTAAATATAGAGTCACAAATGTTTTATTCAGTGAGAGCATAAATAGGGGGTAAAATTCTCTCTAAAAAGGTGTCATGCCAACCCACCCAAAAGACAGTTTGGCACAGGTCCTCAGCTCTGGGTGAGGAGCGCACACAGCAATTCGGACGGGAGGAAGGATGTGCAAAGGTGGCTTTAAACCACCTGTGCTCCCCCAATCCTGGATCTGCAGTTCCCTGGCATAAGTCAGTGCAGCAGAAGGCAGAGCTGCTCTGACTTGCACTGGCTGTCAACAGTCCAAATGGGTGAAGCCCAGAAAAGCCCGGGCCACCCCCTCTACATTGGCAACCAGGAAGGGTGGTGTCCTTGGAGCTACAACACAGGTTTCACACCACAGCTGGGTCACCCTATGCTCATATGTTCCTCCCATTATAGCTGGCTATGCCCCTTCTAGGGATGCTTTACTTTTTACCAGAATAAAGGAGCTGCCTCACAAGGCCTGGGAATCTCCTTATAACCTTCAACTGGACTAAATGGCTGTTTAACATCGAAGAGCCTTTTCCTTTAGTAGCTGTAACTAACTGAGGTATTTGCTTTGTTTCAGACTCTGGAAACCTGATCTAAGCTATCCTGTGACTGACAGCTTTACAGCTACACCAAGAGGTGGGTTTTCTGTTTGTGTTGGTCTAAGATCCCCTCATTCCAGAGCTTGGACAATACTGTACATCCCTGATTTTACTATGGTTGGTTAACTAGCCAATTCCTATGGCCTCTCAAACAAAATGAAGATTGTTTCTCATCGAGTTCTGCGTGTGTGTGCTCACATGTATTTTGGTGGTTTTTTAAACGAAATAATGAGCACATTTACTCAGCCTTGCAGTGGATGGGTTTCTGAAACAGAAGAAACTCTAATGAAAACAAAAATGCATAGTGAATTTGCCAACTTCTTTGTACAGATGTTTCTTTTTTCAGTAGAAATTGTCTTACAGACAGTGTCAGTTAACATATCCAAGAGCCAGGCCTGCTGAGCACAAGTACTGTAAACTGAATCGACAACAGAGCGTTTTTCGATTCTCAAATATCGCATTTTGGTGGAGCAGCTGCCAAGAACATTTACCGCAAAATGGGGGGATAGACAGTCTATCAATTACAACACGGAATTCATTGTCTGAGGTTTCTTTTCTCTGTTTTGCCCAACTGTTTTATTGGGGATGTTTATAGAATACACTAGTGCATCCCAACTGCAGATGCAACCAGAAATGTTAGTTCGTGGAACTTAATGGAGCATCCTATCATTATGTACTAAGAAAAAGATTATATAACCAGGGTGTAGACCATTCTTCATGGGGGGAGGGGATGGAGTTAAAAAATAATAAAACAGCTGCTGAATGTTGTTTTTACACTATCTAATTATTGTAGCAGGGACAATCCTCTGATAACTCCCAGTTTGCTCTTTTCGGTCCATGAGAGGTACCACCCTCTGATGGTCTCGATTGTTTGAAGTCTCTCTCTTTCCTCCAGGGTGTCAGCTGGCTCTTATAGCCAGGGCCAGGCTGAAGGTCTTTCCTGCAGCAGGGTCTAGCTCCTTTCTTCCCTGGCTGGGACATGGCTCAGCAAACAGTGTCTTCTCTCCTTGGGAAGGGTAATTCTGTGTACCTGGGTTAGGTTTGCTGGCTGTGCTTCTCCCATTATTTCTGCAGCCAAGCTGGCTGTTTCCCGTCTTATTGCATGATCCTCTTTCTGTGTGTGTGTGTTTCTGATCGCCTCTCTCTCTAGGGAGACCTGGATAGGTCCACCCAGCTGCCACTCCTATGGGCTGACTCCCAGAGCCTCTTGATTGGCTTGTCTCTTTGTGGGGGAAAAAAGCTCATGGAAGTCATGTGACTGGGGAGGCCAGGCATCATGGAGCCCCCAGAATTCTTTGCTGTCCTTTTGCATCAGTCCCATCATGCCTGGGAGTCAAAGAGCCTCCAGCTGCTGTCTTATTTGTAGTCATTGTCTTGTCAGCATCTCTGGGTGAGAAAGGAACCCACATGGTGAAATAAGCAAAAGCAATTGTTTTCCAGTGTAATCAGCGGATCAGCTGTGGGGTGTTTTCTTCCTTCTGTCTGCTGTGTTCTAGACTGTCTCACAAAGAACACAGTGACTGTAGAAAACCAAGAGGCCACCTAAGTGCTCCAGTTTGTCCAAGGATTGTGTGTGTTTTAATTCTGCAATCCTATGCCGTTCTTACTAAGTGAGGAGTGACTGAGTGAAGTACAAACAACGTGTGTATTTTCCAAGTGATAAAATGAAATCTTTTAATTTATGGATTGCATTAATAAATACAGTAGAACCTTATTTATCCAAGCCTGCATTATCTGGCCGCTGTATTAACCTAACCGGGCAGCAGGGCTTGGGCTGTCAGTCCAGGGTGATGGGGCTGACAGTTGGAGCCTAGCCTCCTGGGGCTGACTGCCAGAGCCTGCCCGTTCTCCTGATTATCCAAATTTTTGATTATCTGATCTTGCCTGGTCCCAATTAGATTGGACAAATGGGTTCCACTGAATTGGGGGGGGGGAGGGGTGGCTAAAATTCCCCCAAGTCATAGTTGTCCATGCCCAGGTATAAATTCAGACTGCTGTTGGGCCTGATTCTGATGCCACTAAGTCAGTGGTAAGACTCCGCATGACTTCAGTAGGAGACTAAGCAGGCATTGTTTTTTTATTTTGTTAGCAGCTCCTTGTTGACTTGAAAATGTGCACTTAAAACTGTTGAGTGCACTATATATTAGTCACTGCATGGCAAAGGGGCACTTACCTGGCTTTGTAGATGTGCACTGTGGGCCAGGCCCTCAGAAGCTGTAGGTCAGCCAAGGATTTTAATGGCGGTATGTCAGTATACGAACTGAGGATTTGGCCCTAAAAACTAGGCTGTTTCACTGGATGCTTCTTTAAAAGTACACTGTTGAAGCCAGTCGGAGTTTTGCCTTTTACTTTGTGTGAGCAGGTTTGAGCACTGAGGTCCAGATTTTTAAGGGTACTTAGGCATTGCTATGCTGCATGCAGCAACAGCTAAATACCCTTAGAAATCTGTGCCTAAATCCTTGAGAATATGTATTGAATGTGCTGCCTGCTATTAATAAAACCTAATCACAAATAACAATAGATTTTAGTTGACATATCTGATCAATTCATTCACACATTTTGCCATACTATAACTTATATGACAGTAAGACCTAGAAGTCACAACTAACATGGGGTGGGCGGGGGCGGGATTTTGCTAGATGCTGCATAAACCTGTAGTATGAGATAATCCTTCGACCAAAGATCACACATTGATCTGCTAAGCCTGGCTTCCTTAGGAAAACAGTGTATTTGAAATTGGTTTTGCAGACTTTTAATTCTACCTCTGTAGAACTTAATAGAAAGAAATGAAAAAACTTGAACGTTTCCAGAAACCCTTCTGCTTACTCTGAGCCAGATTTTTCAGAAGTGCTTGGCTCCCACAGCTGGGGCAAGATTTTCAAAAGTGCTCGAGTCACATTTAAGCATTTAAATGAAGAGCCAAGAGTTTCCAAATTTAGAGGAATGTGTGCAGAACATTTCCGAGTATCTGGGTGTGGATTATCTTCTTTAGCCCCTTCCATTCCATTTAATGCTTTCACATGTCCGTGCACGTACGCACATGGGGCTACGACTTTTGAAGGTGCATTTGCTAACTTGAATGATGCAGTAAAGATATGGCAATAGGCTTATGATCTTACGTACATGGAACCACACAGATGCTGCTTCACTGAAGTTAGTACAGGTTCATGAGACATTAAGTGAACTTCTGAGGATGGACTGTGCTTCCCAAAAATGATTTCAGAAGAATGTTAATTCAGTTCTTTAACATCTGCTATTAAACTACTGACACCGTCCATTTAGCTACAGTATAGACTGTGCTTGATCTGATAATATCCAGAAACAGTTGACCATGTGGAGAAGTTTTATTCTCTTCTATACACAGAGGGAAGAGAAATTATCTCTTAATTAAATGTAATAATCAATTATTTAAATTGCATTTTAGTAAACCAGACAGATGGAAATTGCTGTACTATTTGCCAAGGGCAGACGCCACGCAAGACCAAATGAAGATATTTCAGTTGAAATTTTATTAGTTGCCCAACTTTTATCTTTCACTAATATTGTCTTCTTTCTCTTCTCCTCTCCTCTCCTCCCCCTCAAATCCAGGCCATGTTCAAATCCAGCTGTTTCCATCTCCACAGTACATACAAAACTTCACCTGTTCCCTTCTGTCTTGACTGATAAATCATCTCTCCCTGCCCTGATTGCCTCCCACCTGCATTACTGCTGCCTCCCTGGTACCCATATTGCTCCTTCCTTCCAATCTAAAATCCAGCTACAAAAATTATCTTCTTTTTCTGTTGATCTGACCCTGTCTCACCACTTTGTGGATACCTGTGATGGCTCTCTCTTGCCTAGCCCATTGAGGTTAAATTTCTTGTCTGGCCTTCAAGGTGCTACACAAATTCTCTCTGATCTGCATTTCCAAACTCATATCACTGCATTTTTCTCACCCCTCCAATCCACCAGCAATGTCGATTTCAATGCTGCAGCTTCCATGCCTTTTTCTCTGAAGTCCCTTTGCACGGAACATCCTCCCCACCTAGCCCTGGTCTACACTAGGACTTTAGGTCGAATTTAGCAGCGTTAAATCGATTTAAACCTGCACCCGTCCACACAATGAAGCCCTTTATTTTGACTTAAAGGGCTCTTAAAATCGATTTCCTTACTCCACCCCTGACAAGTGGATTAGCGCTTAAATCGACGTTGCCGGCTCAAATTTGGGGTACTGTGGACACAATTCGATGGTATTGGCCTCCGGGAGCTATCCCAGAGTGCTCCATTCTGACCGCTCTGGACAGCGCTCTCAACTCAGATGCACTGGCCAGGTAGACAGGAAAAGAACCGCGAACTTTTGAATCTCATTTCCTGTTTGGCCAGCGTGGCAAGCTGCAGGTGACCATGCAGAGCTCATCAGCACAGGTGACCATGATGGAGTCCCAGAATCGCAAAAGAGCTCCAGCATGGACCGAACGGGAGGTACGGGATCTGATCGCTGTTTGGGGAGAGGAATCCGTGCTATCAGAACTCCGTTCCAGTTTTCGAAATGCCAAAACCTTTCTGAAAATCTCCCAGGGCATGAAGGACAGAGGCCATAACAGGGACCCGAAGCAGTGCCGCGTGAAACTGAAGGAGCTGAGGCAAGCCTACCAGAAAACCAGAGAGGCGAACAGCCGCTCTGGGTCAGAGCCCCAAACATGCCGCTTCTATGATGAGCTGCATGCCATTTTAGGGGGTTCAGCCACCACTACCCCAGCCGTGTTGTTTGACTCCTTCAATGGAGATGGAGGCAATACGGAAGTAGGTTTTGGGGACGAAGAAGATAGCTCACAGCAAGCAGGCGGAGAAACCGGTTTTCCCGACAGCCAGGAACTGTTTCTCACCCTAGACCTGGAGCCAGTACCCCCCGAACCCACCCAAGGCTGCCTCCTGGACTCAGCAGGCGGAGAAGGGACCTCTGGTGAGTGTACCTTTTAAAATGCTATACATGGTTTAAAAGCAAGCATGTGAAAGGATTACTTTGCCCTGGCATTTGCGGTTCTGCCTTTGCAAAAGGTTTCTGGGGAGGGCAGCCTTATTTCATCCTTCATGGTAGGACACTTTACCACTCCAGGCCAGTAACACGTACTCGGGAATCACTGTAGAACAAAGCATTGCAGTGTATGTTTGCTGGCATTCAACCAAAATCCGTTCACGCGGTGGGAGGAGGCAAAATGCGACCTTGTAACGAAAGCACATGTGCTATGTATGTAATGTTAACAGCAAGGTTTACCCTGAAAGAGTGTAGCGACTGTTTTATAAAATGTGTCTTTTTAAATACCGCTGTCCCTTTTTTTTTTCTCCACCAGCTGCATGTGTTTCAATGATCACAGGATCTTCTCCTTCCCAGAGGCTAGTGAAGCTTAGAAAAAAAAAAAACGCACTCGCGATGAAATGTTCTCCGAGCTCATGCTGTCCTCCCACACTGACAGAGCACAGACGAATGCGTGGAGGCAAATAATGTCAGAGTGCAGGAAAGCACAAAATGACCGGGAGGAGAGGTGGCGGGCTGAAGAGAGTAAGTGGCGGGCTGAAGACAGGGCTGAAGCTCAAAGGTGGCGGCAGCGTGATGAGAGGAGGCAGGATTCAATGCTGAGGCTGCTGCAGGACCAAACCAGTATGCTCCAGTGTATGGTTGAGCTGCAGCAAAGGCAGCTGGAGCACAGACTTCCACTGCAGCCCCTCTGTAACCAACCGCCCTCCTCCCCAAGTTCCATAGCCTCCACACCCAGATGCCCAAGAACGCGGTGGGGGGGCCTCCGGCCAACCAGCCACTCCACCACAGAGGATTGCCCAAAAAAAAGAAGGCTGTCATTCAATAAATTTTAAAGTTGTAAACTTTTAAAGTGCTGTGCTTAAAGTGCTGTGTGGCATTTTCCTTCCCTCCTCCACCACCCCTCCTGGGATACCTTGGTAGTCATCCCCCTATTTGTGTGATGAATGAATAACGAATGCATGACTGTGAAGCAGCAATGACTTTATTGGCTCTGCAAGCAATGATTAAAGGGAGGAGGGGAGGGTGGTTAGCTTACAGGGAAGTAGAGTGAACCAAGGGGCGGGGGGGTTAATCAAGGAGAAACAAACAGAACTTTCACACCGTAGCCTGGCCAGTCATGAAACTGGTTTTCAAAGCTTCTCTGATGCGTACCGCGCCCTCCTGTGCTCTTCTAACCGCCCTGGTGTCTGGCTGTGCGTAACCAGCAGCCAGGCGATTTGCCTCAACCTCCCACCCCGCCATAAACGTCTCCCCCTTACTCTCACAGATATTGTGGAGCACACAGCAAGCAGTAATAACAGTGGGAATATTGGTTTCGCTGAGGTCTAAGCGAGTCAGTAAACTGCGCCAGCGCGCCTTTAAACGTCCAAATGCACATTCTACCACCATTCTGCACTTGCTCAGCCTGTAGTTGAACAGCTCCTGACCACTGTCCAGGCTGCCTGTGTATGGCTTCATGAGCCATGGCATTAAGGGGTAGGCTGGGTCCCCAAGGATACATATAGGCATTTCAACATCCCCAACAGTTATTTTCTGGTCTGGGAATAAAGTCCCTTCCTGCAGCTTTTGAAACAGACCAGAGTTCCTGAAGATGTGAGCATCATGCACCTTTCCCGGCCATCCCACGTTGATGTTGGTGAAACGTCCCTTGTGATCCACCAGAGCTTGCAGCACTATCGAAAAGTACCCCTTGCGGTTTATGTACTCGGCGGCTTGGTGCTCCGGTGCAAATATAGGGATATGGGTTCCGTCTATAGCCCCACCACAGTTAGGGAATCCCATTGCAGCAAAGCCATCCACTATGACCTGCACATTTCCCAGGGTCACTACCCTTGATATCAGCAGATCTTTGATTGCGTGGGCTACTTGCATCACAGCAGCCCCCACAGTAGATTTGCCCACTCCAAATTGATTCCCAACTGACCGGTAGCTGTCTGGCGTTGCAAGCTTCCACAGGGCTATCGCCACTCGCTTCTCAACTGTGAGGGCTGCTCTCATCTTGGTATTCATGCGCTTCAGGGCAGGGGAAAGCAAGTCACAAAGTTCCATGAAAGTGCCCTTACGCATGCGAAAGTTTCGCAGCCACTGGGAATCGTCCCAGACCCGCAACACTATGCGGTCCCACCAGTCTGTGCTTGTTTCCCGAGCCCAGAATCGGCGTTCCACAGCATGAACCTGCCCCATTAGCACCATGATGCATGCATTGTCAGGGCCCATGCTTTCAGAGAAATCTGTGTCCATGTCCTGATCACTCACGGGACCGCGCTGACGTCGCCTCCTCGCCCGGTATCGCGTTGCCATGTTCTGGTGCTGCATATACTGCTGAATAATGCGTGTGGTGGTTAATGTGCTCCTAATTGCCAAAGTGAGCTGAGCGGGCTCCATGCTTGCCGTGGTATGGCGTCCGCACAGAAAAAAGGCGCGGAACGATTGTCTGCCGTTGCTCTGACGGAGGGAGGGGCAACTGACGACACGGCTTACAGGGTTGGCTTCAGGGAGCTAAAATCAACAAAGGGGGTGCCTGTACATCAAGGAGTATTTCAGGCAGGACTGCACGGAGGGTTCCAATAAGAAATGGTGCACCTAAGTTATTGTTGTTATTGGAACAAGGAGGTTAGTCTGGCCTCTGATTGATACATGGCTAGATTTACCTCGCTGCACCTTCTCTGTAAGTGACTGCAGTGTGACCTAGAGGAATGAGTCCCCTAGACAGGGGAGGGGGGGAAGCAAATGAGTACAAAACAAATCTGGTCTATTTCTTGTTTTGACCCACTCCATCTATCTTTTACATCTTTGGCTGGCAGCAGACGGTGCAGAAGGACTGCATGCCATCCACATCTCATGGCTGCTCGGCAGAAGATGGTACAGTACGACTGCTAGCCATCCCCATCTCTTGCCTGCCTGGCAGAAGATGGTGCAATACGACTGCTAGCAATCCTCATCTCTTGCCTGCCTGGCAGAAGATGGTACAGTATGACTGCTAGCAGTCCGTATCGCCTGCCCGCTCACCATAAGACGGTTCAATAGGACTGACTGCAGGACTAAAGAGAATGACCTGGTCAAGTCACTCCAAATTTAGTCCCTGCGACCATGTCTGCCCAGGCGCTCCCAGCCGACGCGGCCAGGAGCACCTCGGACACGACGAGGACGACTACCAATCGTATTGCACCGTCTGCTGCCAGAAGGCAATGGGTTGCTGCTACTGTGCAGCAAAGCCGTACCGCGTCTGCCAGCACCCAGGAGACATAGGGTGACGGTTACCTGAGCGGGCTCCATGCTTGCTGTGGTATGGCGTCTGCACAGGTAACTCAGGAAAAAAGGCGCGAAATGATTGTCTGCCCTTGCTTTCACGGAGGGAGGGAGGGAACGGGGGCCTGACGACACGTACCCAGAACCACCCGCGACAATGTTTTAGCCCCATCAGAGTGCTCCATTGTGACTGCTCTGGACAGCACTCTCAGATGCCCGATTGTTTGCCATTGCTCTGACGCTGGGAGGGGCGCTTACAGGGTTGGCTTCAGGGAGCTAAAATCAACAAAGGGGGTGGCTTTACATCAAGGAGTATTTCAGGCAGGACTTCACGGAGGGTTCCAATAAGAAATGGTGCACCTAAGTTATTGTCCTTATTGGAGCAAGAAGGTTAGCCTGGCCTCTGATTGATACATGGCTAGATTTACCTCGCTGCACCTTCTCTGTAAGTGACTGCAGTGTGATCTAGAAGAATGAGTCCCCTAGACAGGGGAGGGGGGGAAGCAAATGAGTACAAAACAAATCTGGTCTATTTCTTGTTTTGATCCACTCCATCTATCTTTTACATCTTTGGCTGGCAGCAGACGGTGCAGAAGGACTGCATGCCATCCACATCTCATGGCTGCTCGGCAGAAGATGGTACAGTACGACTGCTAGCAGTCCATATCGCCTGCCCGCTCACCATAAGACGGTTCAATAGGACTGACTGCAGGACTAAAGAGAATGACCTGGTCAAGTCACTCCAAATTTAGTCCCTGTGCCCGTGTCTGCCCAGGCGCTCCTGATCGACCTCACAGAGGCGACCAGGAGCACCTCAGACATGACGATGACGGCTACCAGTCGTACTGTACCGTCTGCTGCCACAAGGCAAGGGGTTGCTGCTACTGTGTAGCAATGCCGTACCGCGTCTGCCAGCACCCAGGAGACATAGGGTGACGGTTACCTGAGCGGGCTCCATGCTTGCCATGGTATGGCGTCTGCACAGGTAACTCAGGAAAAAAGGCGCGAAATGATTGTCTGCCCTTGCTTTCACGGGGGGAGGGAGGGAACGGGGGGCTGACGATATGTACCCAGAACCACCCGCGACAATGTTTTAGCCCCATCAGGCATTGGGATCTCAACCCAGAATTCCAATGGGCAGCGGAGACTGCGGGAACTGTGGGATAGCTACCCACAGTGCAACGCTCCGGAAGTCGACGCTTGCCTCGGTACTGTGGAAGCGCTCCGCCGAGTTAATGCACTTAATGCACTTAGAGCATTTTCTGTGGGGACACACACACTCGAATTTATAAAACCGATTTCTAAAAAACCGACTTCTATAAATTCGACCTTATTCCGTAGTGTAGACATACCCCTAGTTCACCAAGCCATCCAGGTCCCTCCTAAAGACTCCCTGTAAGACTGATTGAAAGTTTTCAGTAGGGAAAATGTTTGGTTTGTCTACAAAAACTTGAAACATTTTCACGAAAACTCAACTTTTTCTGTTAAAACTTCCATGTAATCAAAATGCCAGATAACTGAAAACTTGTAAAGTCAGTTTTAAACTTAACATTTTGGGGGGGGTTGGTGTTTTTCTTAGAAAATTTTCATTGAAAAAACTTAGACAAAAATATTTTCTTCTTTGTATCAAAATTTCTCAGTGAGGAGAGGGAGAATAAGCATTTCCTGACCATCTCTAACTCCTTATAACTTCCACAAGGCACAAGCCAAAAATAATAAGATATTTTTTAAAAGCACAAAAGGCATTTAAGTTAGTGAAAGTCCTATTGATGGTCAATGCAGGGCTTGTCCCTAAGTCCCATTTGTTCCTTCCTCAAAAAATGCTATACAACCTCCTTCTCAGGGCATCCCATCTTTTCTGCTTCTGTCTTTGAGATTTCAAGCTCTTCAGGTCAGGCACTGTGACTATTTTATCTGGCTCCCAGACTATTGGCAGAGCTTAGCAAATAACTAGAATTTTTTCTCTCTTCTAGACTGCCGAGCTGTCATCCCACTGCAGAATAGTAGTTCACCACTCTCTCACTTTTCTCAGGTAATACAGTACCAACAAAATTCATCCCTGGTGTAATTTCATTGGTTTAAACAGAAGTAATGCACCTTCACTTACTGTTTTGTTTTTAATGGTGATGTCTGTATTTTCTATGTCAATATGCAACAGTAATTAAAAACATCGTTAGTGCTAGATTCTTACAAACAGTGGTTCGGATTGTGCTTTGTCTGATCCTTTGTCTTTCAATGAAATGGGTATTCTGTCTGTTTCTGTGTTTTTGTTTTTGCTTTAAATTATAAGGATCCAGGAATTAACAGTTTAGTTATTTTTAGAGGCATTTGTTCACATATAAGTGTGATGTCTTCCGAGATGTCTCTGATGGGTTCTCTTTAATGCCTTAGAGAAATTAAAAGCTTTCTCGAAATACACATGGAATATGAGGAACAGAAAGGAAAAATACACTCAGACGGTAAATGAAAGCGAGAGAGAAATATAAACATGTTCTCACACATGTACTTTGGCTATAGTCGCC